ATTTAATTAACCCCAGATAGTTTCGTCTTACCAAAGGCGGAACCAGCTGGCTCAGGCGAAAAGACACCGCGCAAAAACTTACGGGACGCACTAACTCGCCCACGGTTCGTATCGCTCTTCACGGGGAAAAAGAGAAGCAGCAAACAGGAGAAGTGGAAGAAGCGGGGGGAAAAATTCACAATGATGCCAGTAAGTTTATTTCCAATTTGCAGAGTGTTGGCTTTCTCGCTCCTTCCTCCAGGAAATCCATATGAAATTAAACCCACAGCTTCCTAAACAAAACGCTTGGTGATGGGAAAGGACCCCTTCTTTTCAACCCGCGCGGAAATCTTCCACACCGCCCCCCGCCCCGAAAAGACCGGACCGATTAGGAATCAGTCGATCCCTTTAATCTTGTATAACTTCGCTCAGTTTTGCCTTAAATGTAGCAATATGTCAATGTAGATACGACTCCAGCACTGATCTAGATCCTTTCTAAGCCTGCCTTCCTCCCTGTCTGGTGCCAATCCTTTGTTTTGACTTGCGGGGTCTTTACTAAAAGAAATGACGTTTTGTTCAACTGTTACTTTGTCTTTAAAAAAAAAAAAATTAAAAGAAACTGTTACAAAAAGGGGTTATATACATCCAGGACGGTTGTGTCAGTTTCAAAGCGCTTCCTGATCTCTTTAAGTTAGTTTCTTTTTTAAAAAAATGTTTGTTACCCAGCCACTTCTCTAACAAAAGATACGAAACGTAGCCAAAAATGTTAAAGGGAATATAAACCAGAAAAGCAAGCCAAGGCATGCTTGAAACAGTTGGCTGGCCTCAAGCAGCTGTTGGACACCTAAGGTAGACTTGATGGTGGAATCTTGTACATGTTAGAATTTAGATTCGCTGAGTTCAGATCTCAGACTGGAAAACAAATCAGGAGTCTGGAAGCACCTTTTCCGATCCACATATTTTATTAAAAGACAAACCTTTCGTGAGCTTATGCATTGATCCTCCTGAAAGCTGATGCCTTTAATGGAACGTCTTAGTTGGAAAAACTGCCACCAGACTTCTGATGTTTTGCCCCATAGTTGAAATAGCTGTCCTCCTACAACGTCAGTCAGCCCCATTATCTCTGAATCTGACTCCTACATCTTCAGTTCTTGTGTAGGAAAAACATTGCAAAAGCTTCTCGAGGAGAATTACACACCTCTTCCCTTCCTCAACTGGGATACCAGAGGGGAGACATTGAGGAGTAACATTGCTGCAATCCACCGCTTGCTTGGTGGAATGTTTCTGAGGGTCACTAATGACCCACAAGTTGTCCCTATTGGAGACATGTCCCCATACGTCTGTACCATCCATCCATGCTGTCATCCCTTTGTTACAGATATCTAGGCAGGAAAAAAGGGTTTGGATTTAGGACTACGGTACTTGTTTCTAGCTTCGTTTCCTGAGTTGCTATCTAAACTCATCTTGTCTGCAGAACTGTTGGCTGGCTCTCATTTGATGTTATCAGCATAGACTTATGCACAGTCTCCCATGGAGAGTGTTCTATAAAATAAGAGGATCTTGGTTGAAAAACAAATATTGGGTCAACCCAGTATGTTTTCTTGAGATTCGTTTAAGTCAAAGTGAAGTCCTGTGGCCCCCGGGATAGCATCTCAGGGCCCAGGGGAATGATATGTTTTTTTTTATCTCCAAGTTCAGACCAAGATGTCTTGAGTTTGGAGGGGGGCAGAAATTCAGTTTTAGCTTTTCTCTCCTGCCTCGCTGTAGGGCTCTGTGGGTTCTTTTTTTTCTGAGATTGGAAAATTACTCAGAAAATAATTTAGCTTTGCCCTTTTATAAGCAAGCTTCTTCTTGTGCAGCTTACACACTCTAATTTCCAGATTAGAGCATGCAAGCTGCATAAGAAGAGCAGGGGAAATAACAAATAGCAACAGGTAGAGATGAAAATGCCTTCCTGAGGAAGGAGGGAGGCATTTGACTTCTCACTGGCATTTTCTTTGGAGGATAAAACTCTTACAGAAGATTCTTCAGCCAAGTCAGAGTAGAAAAAGCAAAGGATTGAGGTAAAGGATTTGCTACCTGCCAAGCAGCCACCAGTCAAAGATGGTGGGGTTTTCTACATATCTGTTTCCCATTGCATACAATAGGAAAGGTGTCAGCCTTTGACTCTCTCTTTTGAAGGAGAGTCAAAG